ATCTTTCTTAATATCACATGATGTCATTATAAAAAATTTTGGACCCCTTATCAACTACTTTATCTTCAAGCATTTTTGTAGAACAGCTGAATATGTGCCATCCAGGCAGTCTGCATAGTGTAGAAACAATTTATATTTTACTTATCAGACTGAACTGTCCACCTCCCAGAAGTCTATTGAATTTCAATCCTGTAAGACGTATTTCAAGTAATTAAAGTTGGTTAAGCCTTGCTGGAAAGCAGTACTGGGTGGGAAAGGTATACGTCCATCCTGCAAAATCGTCACATGTAGAAACAAAGAAGCTAAACTAGTGTTTCTGCATAATTCAGCACTGTGTAGGTATGTTAGTTCTAGCAGTAGTATACAAATTTGAATTTGCCTCCAGTTGTGGTGCTAGTAAGTTCTGTAGTGGCATGGGCATCCTTCTCCAATGGCCCTGCTGAATGCCTTAAGTTTGCCTTCTTGGGTCCATACCCCCAAAAGACAGTCCAAGAGCAAAAGCCTCTTCAGCCTCACTACTCTCTACTTTGCAGTAGTAAGTACCCTAAACTGCTGATATGAATATTTGTTTTCAGGATACTATATGCTCCTGAGGTAGACCAGTGTGTTTTCTACTGTTATTCCAGTTTTTTCCAGCCTTTAAATTTTTTAAAAAGTCATTCGTGTAAGCTGGGTATACTGGTGATACTCTGGTAACTATCTGCAGAGATAAAGCTGAAAGCAATATAAATAATGTTTTTCTCCTGTTGAATGCCTCTTACTTAACATTAGCTGTCATTAAAACCAATAGAAGGGATACAGAACAGAGTGAGTTACATTTACTGAATTTAGCCTTTAGATAACTGTGTCAAATAGGTCTTGTTAATTAGGTGTTGCATTAAGACAATTTTGATTATGGCAGCTGTCACTAAGGGCTGTTGTCAGGGATTGTCTTCCAGCTCCTTTTTCTTTATAGGCAAGCATGTCTCAACATTAAGAATACCACTGTGGTGGCTCTTAGGTGTACAGCCAAGCTTTGTGTGGTTTTGTGGAGATGTGGGTACTTTGGATGCTAAGAACAGAAACTGGAAAAGATAATTTAGACATCAATAATTGGACAAATTTGCTGTCTTTAATTAAACAATCAGATAAAGCTGTATATCTGACTTTATATCACTGCACTATCTGGGGGCCTTCTAAATGGATTGCAGTTATTGTGCTCCAGATATACCCTGATAACTTAGACATCTAGAGAATAATGAAGATTACCTTGCAGGGTTCAGTCTCTGACTGGGGTGATGTTTTTTTATAGGAAGAAAGAGAGATAATAGTTTGGGAAGAGAAGGGACAGTGACAGCATGCTGGAAAAGCTTTTCTCATGCTTCAAAGCATCCCCTAGAGACTCTCAGACTCTGATTTAATCATCACAGGAAGATTATTTAATCTATCATTAACCTGGGTTTAAGTTTTTAAAAAACAAGCAATCCATTTATTTTGAAAGGGGAGTTGGGAAAGCAGAAAACAAACATGTCTGTAAAGAAAGCTATCTTTTCTGGGTGACATCTTTTTGACAAGATAAGCATCAGTCAAATGTATGGGAAACTTGATCCTTGTACTTTCTCTTCCCTCTCAGAAAAAGCAAAAAGCCACTCACTTTCATTGTTGTTCTTGTGAAGATGCAGATTCACCAGTGTGCACAATGACTTTTTTAATGAATGGCAGCCTACTCAACTCCTCCGAGTGGGAAATCCTCTGGGAGGATTTGCAGGATACAGATGTCCTTTCCATCCTTCTGCCCCCGCCCGTGAGGGACTGATACCCAACCTCCGTGAGCAGGCCATTAATCTGACATGAAATCTGATTGAATGAAACGGGGTAAATCCCTGTTGGATAACAAAATGCTAGATTAGCAGTTAGCAAACCTTGTGATTAGAGAGATTAACTGCTGAAGACATCATTCTTTCAAATGTAAAGCCTCCATTTTCATTTAGAGTTGGTAGTCCATGAAAAACTACTGTGCTAGCAATTAAGAAACAGTAAACGTGCTGACCTGCAGAAGGGTGAATGAAACCTAAGGTAACTTTGGTAGCAGTATTTCTTGCTCTTTGCTTGTTAGGCACCCCATTTTTCTTCCTCTGGGCATTTAAAGCTGTGTCCTCTCAAGAGACACTGTTTTCTTTAAAGAGAATGTGATTCAGTGTTGGCTACAAGGAACAGAATTCATTCTTTTTGTCATTAGGTTTGTTTCATTAGGTATGGGACAACAGCTTTAAAGCAAAGACGTGCAAATGGCTCCAAAGATCAAAGGCTTCCCCACAATTTTCTGAGCTGCCTCCTGGAAATCTACCATGGGACATTAAAGGTTACAGTGGTCTCCCCTAGTGGCACTTGCAAACTCTATAATTTAAAAAATAATTATTGAAATATGATATGCACTTTAATAGGCACCATTAAATTAGTCAGCTAGTTTAATTCAATATATTTATTTTATGCTTTGAGATGGCAAACAGGAGCTTTACAAAACATACTATACTTTTTTTTTTTTTTCTTCAACAGTGCTGCATCTCTTTCTAAGTATCAGCAGAGAGTCCAGTGCTCTTCTGCTCTAAGCACATCTGCATAAAACCTGAAAATCTGATAACTACCAAATGAAAGGGGAATACCAGTATTATGTCAAAACCTGAAATGAAAGGTTTTGGGGATACTAGTGTTTATATCAATTCCCTTTCTTCACAGAATAAAGATGATTAAAAATGAAAAGAGGAAATGCAGATCAGGAAAAAAAAATAAGAAATGTATTAGGGACATATTTAACAGGTAGCTTTAAATGTAATCTCTCACATTTCTCCCTTTCCAGAGACATGATAGGTAAATAATTAGAGTTAAGCTAAATCACATTAAGAGGTGTCCTCTTGGGGTAAAAAAATAAAAAATAAAAATAAAAAATCTTGGTTTAAGCAACTGCTTTTGAATATTCTGCTGGGATTGAACTGCATCTTTGGGCATCCAAATCCTTTAAACAGTGTGGCTTATACTTGATGCAATGAAGGGAGACTCACTAGATTACGTTCCATGCTCAGACCTGCTGAAATTAACACATCTTTTCCCCTACACAAACAGGAAGATTTAATGTTTCATACAATGTGACTAAAGCACTCTGGACAACACTCAGAGTAGTTTCTCTAGTTGGTATTTTCAGCAGTCTGGTGCTTTGTGCATGAGTAAAAGCCCATGGGAGGAAGTTTCAACCCCATCTGTGGATAAAAATTTTCCACTGTTGCTGCTTGGGAATGAAGGAGCTCACTACCAGCTTGCCAGAACAAAGCTTTCAAAGTCTTTGTCACTTCCATTGTCATCCTGCACCAAACAGAAACCCATCTCCCTGCAACATGTTTTTTCTCCCTCCAGTTGTGCTAGTTTGCTGCACCCCTTCAGAAGGTTAAAATATCATCCACAGTGCTCTCATCTGGTCCTGCCTCACTGTTTTTTAGATCTGAATATTTCTTTAGCCTTGTAGTTTCCAGGAAGAGATGGTAGGCAGCTCAAAGATAAAAAAAACATGTCTGCTTTTAGGATATCTTAATAAATCACTTGAAAACACCTGAACACTTCTGTGGCAGTGTTGTTTATTCTCACAATTTTCAGAAAAATATGATGCTTTTGCTGGGGGTACAAGATTTTCAGCAGAAAACCAAGCACCAAAACCACAAAAAAAAGGATGTGGCAGCTTGCATGCTGTTGCTTTGTAGAAAACTCAACATTGGAAATAAAAAAATAAATCCAGGCCTCTTACAGTGTCTCCTTTAGTATATATTTTGTAAGTAAAGGAGTATGATGTCAGTTGTGGGCAGAACACAAAGGAGGTATAATGAGTCAGCTTATGAGTAACAAGGTTATTTGAATTGTTCATCAATTGTTCATAACAACTCACCAGGCTGGAGCTCACTTGCAAGTAGAGACCAGACCAGCTAGCCTTGTAAATGTGTGCCATCTTATTCTGCAAAGCTCAGTAACATCCCAGCTTTTAGCACTTTATCCATTCCTGGTAATTCCCCTTATAGTTTTCAAGGTGAGGAGTCCCCCCCTGCTGTAAATATTTTTGGGCTATTGATAACAAAATTCTCGTTTGATATTGGGGGTCTTTTCCAACCTTAATGACTCTGTGTTTCCTGTAGCAGGATATTATCCAGCTGTAGTGTGTATAAAGGCAGTTTACTGACTGCATTGCCCCGTATTGTCTAAAGTTTCTGGGTGCTGTCCCCTTGCAGGGTCTCTGCCTTGAGCTGTGTTAAGGGCAGGAGAGCTCCAGGCTTCCTGGGAGTCTGGTTCCTGGGAGATATACCCAAGCCCCCCTTTGCTTTTGGAAATCTCGTCTAAAGATGTGTAACACATAAAGCAACGTGGGTCTTTCTGAAGCAAAAAACTAACTGCTTCCAAGCAGTACCTTATCTGAAATCACCGGGGAGTGGAGAAGTATTTTGGGCTGCTGCACACTTGTATGCATTTCAGGGAGGACGAGCACAGCGTTATCTGGTTCAGGTGTTTCTGTAATTGTGATTCATTAGTATAACACACAGCATTCAGCGTCTAGCACCTGTGTGCTCCTGCTGGGATGGTGTCAGTGCTCTCTGCTGTGATATGAAATGTACGGCTCTACTGGCTAGTTCAAGATATTTTTCTCCTCTGGTAGTCTCTTTTCAGTGTATTTCTTGGCCTCTACAGCTCTGAAGGTGCAGTTGCAAGTAACCTTTAAATGACCCAGGAGCATAAGCAGCATGCTGAGTTTTACCCATCCTCTCAGAGAGGGATTACCCACATGTTCCCAATGACACATGACTGTTCCTCTCTTACCGAAGAGCCATTTCTTGTCCACTGTGAGGGAAGGGGAAGAATAAGGGCACTCAGCACAGATTGCCACAGGGTGACAACTATAAAAGGTGCATAAGGACTAGACAATTTTTAAGGCGGCTAGCTGTGTTTAAAAGCCTCCTATGGTGAGGATGGAGGAGTGAGGTGCCTGTCCCTTCTTTTGGCACTCGTAGGGCTGATATGTGTTCAGTGTTGCATACTGTGGGTGAGGGTCCTTATTTGCCATATTCACAGCTACCTGTGAGAGGTGATGCAGTGCCCAGGGCTCAATGGGCAATTTGTGGAATTTGAGGTCTTTGTATCTGTGGTTTTCATTATTAAGGGTCAGGCTGGAAACCCAGCTTTCCCCCAGACCTCAGCTCATCTGAGCTGAAAGCTGCCATGTGTGAGGCTGCCCCACGCCACCAGCTCCAGGTCCGGGCACATCATGAATGCATGGCCCAAGCATGGGTCTCATCTCCCAGGCTGTGCAACTGCTGTCAAAATCTAGAAATGCAAGAGGGAGTTTCATGTTTTGCCACTGATAGCTATGTAACGATTGTGCTAATGACAACAAAGCTTGAATTGAAGGAGGTTACAAGAGGCAAATGGGAATCAGAATGCATCAGCAGGAAAAAAATATGCATCTCTATCAATCGATTAAGCTGAAATAAAATTGCAGTTGTTTGACAGCTGTAAGTGATTTATCTTTAAATAGCAGCAGCTCTGATCCCTGAGAAATCGTGACTCCTGCAAGCCTGGCAGAGAGTAATTAAGGGACAAGCTCAGCAGTCAATAAATGCCCCTTGGGATTACAGGTTCACAGCAGACCCACAAGATGTAGTCCTCTGACAAAGGGTTCAAAAGGTAATAAGCTGATCCTCATTTGTTTTGCAGTAGCTTATTAATCATGGTATTGGGCTGGGCCCTGTGCACACAACTTAAACAGTTGCTTACATATTTCCAATATTTTTTCTTTTCCACTGAGCTTGCCTTCCCACTTTCTCAAGAATGTTGATGGATGTTAAATTACCCTTACTAAGACCACAGACTGGTGGTGGGAAAGATCACTTGACATTAAAACTAGGCCATTTCTGGAATGAAACACATTAAAGCTATTCAACAGCATCAGTCAATATTGTATTTCTCTCTTATAAACAATGAGGATGTATGCCTGCTGCTGCCAAGACAGAGATCTGATGAGGATATTTGCTTTCCTAATGGATAATCTCTAATCAGGCTTCCCTTGTGCTGCATGCTGCCATGCAGGAAAATAGGCAGGAAAAAATATTTGTTGGGATATGGTGAAAAGGTCACAGTAATCATATTTGCTACCATGTCGATATGTAAGATTGCCCTGTGCTCATCCCCCCCCTCCCTCAGGACAAAATAACTTTCTCAGTCATGGCGTGAATTTACAAGCAGCATCTGAAAGCAAGGAAAATGTTTTTAGTGACACAGAAACGAAGATGCTTTAAAAAGGTGGGGGGTTTTTTGTTTGTTTGTTTTATACAGAAAGTGAGAAGAGCAGGATGGCTGTGAATGGGCTGTTCGTGCCTGTATGTGGAGCTGGGACCTGTCTGTGAGTGGTGTTCCAGCAGCCTAACCAGTGACCTGAAGATGTTTTTGAGGAGGGTAGAAAAGGTCACAGCTCCAAATGAGAAGAGCACTTAGCTGAATCCTTAAATACCACTGGGATTTAAACTGATCCCTAAGCCTCTTCCCCAGCTGCAATTTTAACTAGCTGAAACATCAAATATTCTGTTGAATCAAGGTGAGAGATATGGTGGTCTCAATCTCCCATGCATGTGTCCTTCAGGTCCAGAGGTGGAGCCAGGACAAGATCACCACTGGCCTGAGGCAGGAGCAAACACTGAGAGCAGGTGTCCCTCGAATTCCTTCACTGTCTCATGTTAATCCTTTCTGTAGTTTCTTGAAAGAAAGACAATTAGTGAGGGAGTCACAGGCCATGACAGTAGTGACATAAAAATATCAAGAGAGGAAACAGAGCAAGGGGTTTGGTGCGTGTTGTGTAACTGCTTGGAGGTTTGGGGGAACCCACAGCTCATCAGGTAGTTCACACCTCAAGTCCACCCAAGCTTTGGGGAAGATTTATACTGGAGGAGATTTTATAACCCTTCATAAACCTGCATTCCAGGAGATGGAAGGGAAGGGCACAGATACACACAGGGATGTGTTGCTTCATGAAATCACGGCAGGATAGTTAGCTCCTTTGCTGTAACTATAGTTTGTTAAACTGCCATCTGAGATTAACACAGAAACTTCCTGATACAATGTCACTCTTTCAAGCTACTAAAAAGGAAAAAAGGAAATTAAATATGCTCTATTTATTGTTTCCCCAGGTATTTCTTCTCAGACAGCAAAGGCAGTTTCTTTTTTTTTTTTTCTATCTTTTTTAAGGGGTGGGCCACTAATGTGAAAACTGAAATTGAAAAAGCAACTAAACAAAATACTGTCTCTTAATTTCCGGAAAGTTTTAGTAGATTTTTTAAAAATGGAACTTGGAATTCTTTAACCTCAATATCTAAGGCACAGAAGAATGTCCCTTTAAAAAAAAAGGGGGGGGAGGGGGGGGGCTGATCATAAATCTGTTATCACTTTGAACCTATTCATTTAAAAATATCTTAGCTAAAGGCTGTGGATGGCAGAGTGATAGAGTTACTCAGACTGAAAAATAATAACTTGCTTTTCAATCATGTTATTAAGACATTACTGGTGGTCTGAAGTGCCTGTTTGTAACCTGAAGATGACATAAATAAAAGAAACTACCTTCAGAAGGATGAAGACGCCTTATCGTAAGATCCTCTATGAGCTCTCAGGGCCAGGGGCTGTTTTTCTTAACTATTGCTTATCAACCCAGCTTGTTACTGTAGTAGGCAACAGACCAAGGCTCCCAAAAGCAAGCATTGATTTGAGAGTTTTCTACCATTGTCACTGAAAAAGAGACTATTCTCCTTGCTTTCCCAGGGGCTGACTGCTGTGAACCCTCAGACAAACTCAGGGAGGACAGATATAGTCCAGAGGAAATGCTGGAAAACAACAATAATAATTCCTGTCTTCAGCAGAAGGAAAAAATAATCTAAGGAGTTCGGGGCCAGGCAGCTTAACTCCAGGTGCCTGGCAAACACTGGCATATACTTCATAAATAATTGGTTGGAAATGAGCAGGAGTTAATATGAATGTGTCAATCCTATCTGATGAATTTCCTTTAGCAGCCTAAGGGGCCCTGTGGGTGAGGGAAGGGCTTCTCCATCTCAATTTTAATAAGCCTTTGATCCTGTCCTGTGTGACATTTTCATAAACAAGTAGGGCAATAGGCCAGATGACATATACCAGACATATTCTGTCTGGTAGCCAGGAGTGTAAAACTGTCCTATTAACTGTTAGTGCCTCACTGTCAAAATAGGAGGAGGATCTTCAGGGATCTGTCCAACATCTGGGTCTTCTTTAAGGTTGGTCTTTAGTGAGTGTGACAAAGGGGACAAACTGAAACACTGGGGAAACTGTGGTTAAAAAAAAAATATGCACTTATGAATGGGCATGGCCCTAAGCTTGTGCTGAAATCATCACTGCCTGTACCGCAGAGGGCTCATTTGCTTTACCCAGTTCAAGCAAGGCAAACCTCATCACAAGGTGTATGAGCAATGGTGCTACCTTCGAGGTACATGAAACAGTTTTTCTGCCCAGCTTCACATGGATTAGACTTTAGGTGGAAGAGCACATCTAGTTTTGGGCATTCTGTTTTGAGAAGGATATGGACTAATAACAGAGAGCATTGGACAAAGCAATGGTAATAACGTGAGTTTTAGAAAAACTGACCCCTGTGGAAAGGCTAAGTGAACAGAGGTGTCTCCTAGCCTATAGTAATAATATAAAAATGTATCACTTCTCAAGTAGAACTTTAGTAAGAAATACCATTCTTTTTCAGGTTGACCTTGCCATGCAAGATCACCAGGGGCTGCACAGGGCAATGGTGTAAGGCAAAGGTGGAAGAGAGATTTCTCCGCTCGGCAGTTTCCACGTTACTTTCTGCTTTTGCAGAAGAAACAGCCATGGATACAAGGCAAACATAATCAGTGGTAAGCAGTATGTTCCCTGGGGGAATACAAGAAGGACAATAAAACTTAACATTTTGCTGAAGCACCTGCGCGATGAACATTACCACAATTAGAAGCAAGTTGACATGACTGGGGCTCACCCAGCCCCACATGCTGTGCAGAAAAGCAGTCAGTGGCTCCTGTACTCTGGTTCCCCTCTTCCAGCCTTTCATTAGGACTAGAGATGGTTGAAGTGTTGGGACCACCCTGGGCAGACCATACCCTTACTCAACCCAGCAAGTAGGATGGCAAGATTCTGCTGCCCATCCACAAGGCACAAAGGCACCGACTCCCTGCATCCACCCTCATCCCTTGCAGGGCATCCATGGGAGTACCTGAATTTCTCAGGTTTTCTTCTGTAGGCAGCCTCAGAGATAAGCAGCTGGCACCAATAAAAGCCCTGAGAGCAACAGAATTATCAAAAGGAAAACATAATAAATATAAACGTACCTCACCTTACTCTAATGTAAAGGCACTGCTATATGGAGGAGGGATGTGGGAGCCTGCTACTCCCACAGTGCTCTTCAGACAGATTTTTTTTTCTTTTTTTTTTTAAAGACTTAATTTCTTCTTCCCAGTTAAAATATTTTGCTGGTGCCCCAAGCTGCAAAAATGGCTTCAAGTCCTGAGCATTGGCTGTATCTCTGTCAGATGTGTTATATTTCTGGTCAAGGTTTGTTGGAAATTGAATATTCTGGGCTCTAATTTCTAAAGTGATTTTTATTTTGAAGTCAAGAATCAATTTATTGGTATCAGGAGCTGGAAGATATGGCACCATGACAATGTCAGTGTTGCCTTCACCTGTTCACTGATAATTATTTCTGTGATTTTATTTTTGCCTTTTGAACAACTAGCACCTGGAGACACGGCATTACCAAATAATCTCATTTTAAAATAAATGAAAAAGAAAGGAGATAAGGGAAAAACAAGTTTGTCACAGATGAGAACCTGAAGAGTGTTCTTTATAGCATCAGAGAAAAGTAAAAATAACTCATTGTATATACCTTAGTGTTAAAAACATTTTTGTACTCATTGTTTATGAGTTAATTGCATGATTTTTTATTTTGATTGTCTAGACCCCAGTTTCTAAACAAGTGTGCAATCTTTTCTTCAAAAGAAATAAAAAGATACCACTCCTAGATTATTGGAAAAAAGATCCCTGTCTCTTGTTTATTTATTTATTTAGAAAGCACATACAGCAATGCATGGGGAGGGGAAGAGAGATGCAAAACAGGTGAGCATACAAATCCATCTCAGAAGAAATAGTGAGACACTTCCCAGGTGATTAGTAGTACATCAGTCTATGTGAGCATTTAAACTGTTGTACCTCTAGATTAAAAAAAGAAACCACAGAGAATTTCTGAAGAACAAGGTAAATGTCTATATTTCAGAAATCCCACCACAATCAACTTGTAGGCAACAAAGTTTTTGTTCTGTTTTTGTTCCTGATTTTTCCTCCGAGGGGTCTCTCTTGCTCATGCTATGGTTTCTTTCCTCAGTGTCCTCCTCTGGTGACAAGTAAGGATACTTGTGAATGAAGACTTCCCCTTAGTTCTTGACCTTTTCTTTAACTTCTTCTGATGCTTGAGTGAAATGCCAAGCTCCTCCATTATAGCATTGAAAGAAAGACACTGGTGGAACATGAAAATTGCATTAGACACTTTTCACTGAAGACAGAGTTTGACCATACCCTCTGACCAAATTGTGGCTCTTAGAAACAAGGACCTCATTTCTCAAAGACAGGATCAGAAAGCTTCTCTGGTGAGTTCTGCCAGCCTTTAGTAAGTCTCTAATGTATAGTAGGTGAAGTCTATAAGTCAGTTTTCTTGCCTAACTTGACTTTCACTGAAATTAATTTAATTTTGGTTTAACTAAAGCTGATTATGAATGCTTCTGAAATTCTACACAGATGACTGTGATATTTTGGTGGCTTCACATCGTAAAACTTATTCTTTTTTTTTTTTTTTCAGCAGGTAAATCTCCTCCTGACCTTAAAAGCAGAAATAGTTTCTTTTAAAAATCCTTACCCACCCCTAAATTATGAATACTAAAGAAGACAAACAAATATTTCGTTGTGATTTAATTATTTTCTCTTCATGAAATTAATAAGCAATTCCAAAATGCAGCACACTCCACAATACTTCTTCCTCTTTGGAATGAATCTTTTTCAAATATTGTGTATCAGAGAAAGAAGAGAAATTACCACAAGAATGAGGTAGCTGAATAGTTTAGAAAGCAAACAGAAATCTTTTTTTCTTTCCACTATCACAACATTAACAAAAACATTTTGGATAAATGGAAAAATCTGTTAAAATCTATTGCTAGGATAATTACTTGTAACACAAAAAGCACAAAGAATCTTTTAAGTGGAAGTATCTAGCAAGGCAAAAGATTGTTCCATGCAAATATGTATAAATAGATTATTTATACATAAAATGAAGTGATGGTAGCAGTGTGAAACTAAGCTTTAAACACCTTACCTCCACCACGCTAAATAAATCCTCCTACCAGACCCTTTCTAGAACAGTAGGACTGCTCAGTTTTAACACAGCTGGTTAAAACAACAGTTCAACAGTTCTTGTCAACAAATGAGAGCAACAGCACACAGACATGGTTCTTTGCATCAAATACAAATTCCCTTCTACAGTGATACCAATGCAAGGAGAGTTGTGTTCAGTCCTTAACCACTAGTAACTCAATGGTGATCTCAACTATAAAAAAGAAAAAAAAAAGAAAAAAGAAAAAAAAAGAAAAAAAGGGGGGGGGGGGGAAGAGAGAGAGAGAAAAGAGTAAAAAATTGATATGTTATTGAAGAGGAGAAAATCCAAGCTTTCTACTAGCCAGCTGAATTCCAGTGGAGTATTTGCAAATGCAAAAGAGACTATGAGGTATGAGGGTAGCCTGGATAAAGGTTAGGTCCCTTGTATAAGGTAGTAAAGGGATGCCTGAGTGGTGAACTCCACACACTGCACTTCTTCCAGTCCAGTAGAAACCCTCTGGGTGGAGTCTGTAACCTCGATTCTGCACATGAGACCAACACATCTGTGCATCAGTGTGTCTGTGGTTTAAATGTATATGATTGTGCAGGTATCATCATGTCCATTTGCGGGATGAGCTGCATACAGACTAATATCCCATAGAGTGAATATCCCATAGAGTGTGACATCAAGAGTTTAATGTTTTCTCTTTGAGATGCTTAATTTTTGCTCATCTGAAGTTCTTAAGTATACGTGAATCAAACTACTATAGATTCATGCCAGACCCAAAATGTAGAAGGAATGGGCTGGGTCACTGTGTTACTTTATATATATGTACATATATATATATATTTCAAATTAATATCTGGTAATAGACAGGACTTTGGTGGTGCAATTATCATTTAAATAGCTCCTTTGGCAATGTAATATAGGAATTTCAGTGTTACTGGATCTAGAGTCAAGTGTCTGCTGCAGCCTCATGCCCTCTGGAAGCAGCAGGTGAATGAAGCAAGTATCATACTAGTACAGAACTATTTGTATATTGCTTCAGGCTTTCTTTAGAGCATAGCACCACTTATTTCCAAACCAATAAAAGTATATGCTCTAACTAGATGATTTAGCATGTATAATTTATCTCTACTGTCTTAGTTTTAACTGAGCTTTCAACATCTAAATTACCAAGTGATTCCAGAAATCCATGGCAAATAATGAAGAAGGGACCATATTAATAATTTGTAGGATTGATCAGACTGATTTTTATTTTTTTCCTGTTGTTCTTACCAACTTGTATGCTGTGTGTGTGCTTCTGCATTGTGCATGCAGGGGTGGTTTCTGCAGAAGAAAGAGTACACTTTGCTGCTTTGTTAATATGCCTATATTTGAATTTTCCAAATGGATTTGTATTATTCAGACTATGTAATGATTACAATGTCTTCTAATTTCACCAAAATAGTCCCATGAAGATCATTTTACCTTTGCACATAGATATTTGAAAAATATAACTGGCATTCTATATACGAAGTTTTTAACTTCTGAGGATATGAATTGTGAGGTGTTCAATTGGTTCTACTTTCAACTCTCCTATGAAATTTTAAAAATCATTTTCCAGATATAAGCCTTTTAATAGAAATATTACGAGAAATAGTTCAATAGTTCAAGTTTATTTTTATGACTAGGTCTGATGTTTAGATTGTGTCTCTAAGAATTGATCTTTTGCCTAAATGTTCATCGGTACCAGCTACACCTAAAACTGTAAAAATATTACTATTCTTGTCTTTCCTGCAAACTGATCATGTTTATTCATCCAACAAGGTATGGAACTAAGTCATTTAAAAATCTGAAAGATTCTGTCTGTTGAGACTCTCTCCTCTCCCGTCCTGACAGTGTAAGTCCCCAGTGGGCCGATCCCACTACCCAAAAGAGAAGTCAAAACACACAAGCTCAACACATGTAAGAATAGGCTCAGCCATCCTACAGAAACAGCAGTTTGGGAGAGGCGAAGGAGGACAGTTTACAGTGACAGCTACCTGAGTCTTACACCTTGTAGATCCTCTTCCTGACTTCATAAAAGCACAAAAGCAGATTTATTTTTACTGTTATATTACACCTAGTTTTGAGGGACTTAAAACACCATTGATTTGAGTTTTGTCAAGCTGAAGCAATGAATTAAAGATAGATTTAAGACCTTGTACTGAACTGTCAAAGGTATTCCAAAGGTTATGGTCATAATTACAAGTCTGATCAACTTTATGAGTATTCCTCTATCTGAAATCCTGCCATCTTTGAATAAACATGCTGGAAGTGGCAAAGAGAGTTAAAAGCCTGGGATACACAGGGCCATCTAAAAGAGCAATCTTAGACAATACTTTGAACTTTCAGGGGTTTGGTTAATCATTCAGAAAGGCAGTTATAACATGAGCTTTCTTTTGAGCCCTGGAAAAATAGCTCAAAATCCTGTTTATCTCCAAACTTGTTCATACAATCAGGAAACCGAACAGATGTTTGAAAACCAGGATTGCACTGAACTCTTCAAGCAGCAGAGAACTGTGATATAGAAAGGGTACAGACTCAGCCAAAATGCCTTAGGAGTGACTTGAAAATCATGGACAAGAAACACCATCTGTAGGGACTCTCAAGACAGCCTTCAGAACAACACCGTGTCTGCTGTACAATTGCAGTAGCCTTTAAAAAGGGGATGATGACATTCTAATTCCATTTAAAAGGGTAATATATTGTTCTTTTAATCTCATATTCAGATAGCCAGACCCAAAGGGTTTCTTTAAAAAGCCCTTTTTTTTTAATTATTTTTTTTTTTTATTTTTATACGTGCTGTTAAATGCACTTTAGAGATCTCTGTGAGAATGAGGGTGAAGTAGGAACAGAGCAATACATTTAACAACAGAGTAATATGTTTAACATTAAGCTTTTTGTCAGCTTGACTTTCTCATTCTAGCAGTGCCAAAATGCTGCAGTACATGGCCCGTGCGGATTAAAGGAAATCTTTTAAAAACAGAATGGGTTTGGGCCTCTTTGTGATTTGAGACTCTTCCTCTTTGCCCTTTGGTCATTTCATCAGGATGTAAAAGCTTGCTGAAGAAGGTCTCAAATCTTTCCTTCCACTCCCATACAGAAGACTGTATTAAGCATCATGATAACTCTAAATTCATTATTTAAAGAATAACATAAATTAAGCTAGAATGACTGAAAAAGTTCTATAGTTAGGCTTTATCAGTCTGCTGCTGCTTATGTTGCAGGGCTTCCACTGGAGACAAAACTTTTCTATAGTTTTTTTAACACCTTGCAAAAAAACAAACAAACACAAACAAACAAAAAATAACTAACCAAACAAACAAAAAAAACAGGGTGCTGTGCTGGAGATCTGAAAACTATGGATATCAAAGGATGTAGCCTAAATTTTATTTTGGGAGAATACCTGACCAGCTCAGACACAGGAAGAACAGGATTTTTCTCCTGCTGTGCCTTCCTCGTCATGAAACACCCATAGCTGGGACGCTGACATATGTCTTCTGCTGAAAGAAAAGTGATTTATTTTTTCCTAGTGCACTGAAGGAAAAATATTGAAAATAGTTTCTCCTAGTGAGTAAACTGCTGTTGCAGCACATTAAGAATCTGTTTGAGTATTCTGTCATTGATGGCTAATTGCATGAGGAGATCACTAAATGAAGGATTTTGAACTGTCAGAGTCCATTGAACAGTGACTTTCAGAACAATGTCACAATAATCCATGGATTATTTTAACTGTTTCTCAGTTACATAAACTGCACATCAGTTTCATGTTTACAAGAAAAAAAATAATCAGTAAA